AAATGCTTAACAATTTCTGGAAAATTCATAGAGACATCTTTGGTATCAAAGTAGGTTATAATATGAGCTAAGTAGTTTGTATCAATAATTTTGGTTATAAGAAAGTTAATGGCTTGTTGTCGATCAAGTTTGTCAATATTATGATTTTGTATAGCAATGTTTTGATAGATTTTTAAATATTGATAAAAGTAATAGCTTCATCATTTAGGATTTGTTTTAGTTTAATTATTGGCACATATAAACTTTTTAGTTTTGGTTGCAAGATTATCAAGAAGTTATGTAAAGATTTTTTCTTTAAAAGTGGCTTCATGTTTGGCATTAACATAAAAAATTAAAACATCAATATTGGGTTGTTTCCAAATTTTACTTTCAGTTTTTGAATATTCTGAGTAGAATTCATTCAGAATTTCTTTAAAAAGATTGCTATAGTCATATATGTATTAGTAATTAGATTGGTTGTTGCTAAGTATAGTCTCTTTTGCTTTTGTTTTTTCTTTTTCTTTAAGTTTTGTTTTATCAAGATATATACAGTCAGAGTCAGTACATATATAGATATGATAATTTGCATATCAGATAGTCTCATTGCATTATTGTTGAAGATTGTAGGATTCAATGAAAGAAATTTCAGTTGAAAGAAGTTCTTTAAGATGTTTAATGAATTGTTGTCAGAATTAAAACCTTAGTGCATTTTTAATTTTAGTTTTATTAAGAGATTCTGTAAATTGGTAGTTGTATAAAGAAAAGAATTTTGTAAACCATTTATTAAAGCAATCTACTAAATTATTAAGTGATGAAATGTTGTATTTTTCAAAAAAAAGAGTTTTAGAAATATTAAAAAGAAGGTGAATATTAAATCAGTTGTCCATTTTAATATTTAGATATTGTTCTTTTTTGTTAGTTTTTATTACTGATGAGCTAACAGTAAATCTTTTAGATCTAAGTTTAATATCCTTAGCAAATTTAATGTAGTTAATAGATTGATAATTATTAGATAAATAGAAGTACAGTCTGGCAAAATTAATACAAAATTGTAATCAGTTTTGAGTTCTATATAGAGGAACAGTAGCAGAAGATGCAAAAATTTTAGAATAATTAAGTTTGGTAAATAAGATAGTAGTAAATTTGTAAATGAGTTTTTTAAGGCTTCCTTTCAGAATATTGAAAGGAATTGTAGCTTTATGATCAATATTTGGATTGGTTTTGAAGATAATATCTGAAAGAAATTTAAGTTAAGTTCTAGCTATTTGGCAAATAATATGATAAAAGCTAGCAGTAAGAGCTTTTTTGTTTTCAGTAACTGGCTTGATTTCTTTTTCTGAATAAAAGTCAAAAAGGTGTTGTTTGAGTAAGTTGAATAATTTACAAAAAAATTGAGTTTGCAGTTTTGTATTATTTTCTATTTTAGTTGTAACTGAAAAGTTGGTTAACCAGTCAAATATTGTGTTTGCTTTAATTTTAGTATTAGGAGATAGTAATTGATTTTGTTGAGATTGTTGTTGTTGTTTTTATTATTGTTATTATTGTTTGTTGTTTGTAGATGTAGTATCATCAATATCTATATTTACATCATCATTGATTTGGTTATTGTCTAATGGTGTTAAAGGATCAAGTTAAGAAGTAAGTGGGTTGGATTGTTGATATTTGGTAAGTGTTTGTCAGAGTTTGTTAGCAAATAGGATGCTTTTTTTTAAAAAAGTCTTGTTGTGTATTTTTAGTAGAAGGAATATGTTTGGAGTTTTTAGAGAAGCCTTGTTGAGAGTTAAGTTGGTTTTCAATACAAGATTTGTGATAAGGTTTGTGATTAAAGAGTATAGTATTGACTGCTAAATAATACTGATTATTAGTTAGTTTGCAGGTAATAGGTTGATTGCAGGTAATGCAGATATAGGGTTGAGTCAATAGAAATCAAGCAAATTTTTTCTAGGTAAAATTTTTTTAAAACTTTAAACAAAAATAACTTAACTAAAACTTTATCAGATTTTATAAAACTTTTTTAAAATAAATGCTACAAATTTGTAAAATTTATTTAAAAAATTTTTTATTAAATTTGATTAAGTTTTTATTAAATTATTGTTGTTTAAAGCTTCAAAAAAATTTCAATAAAAACAATTTGCTTGATTTTTATTAACTCACCTTCATATGTTGATGTATAAATAATAAAAGTAATAAAGTTGGAGATAGTAATATAAATTCAGTAAAGTCAGTAATATTTGTTGCAATTTGTTTTTTGTTCTTTAATTTTTTTGTAGGTTGTTCAAATTCATTTTGTTCATATGATAGGTTTTTTTGTAATAGGAAATTAGTATGAAATTTGTTACAAATGCAAGTAATAATGCTACTGTTACAGAAGCTTTAATGTAGTAACAACATTTAGTATTGTCTCTAAGTTTGATATTAAAGCAATTGTTTGGCTGTTTGTTAGTAGGGATTGGGTAGAAGGTTAGTAGAGTCTCTTTATAAACTCTTATACTAAAACTTATTGAAAAGTTTTTATAAAAGTAATCAAGATTGACAAAGTTTGGTTCAGATGTAATAAGAGTAAGTATATTATAATATTTTCTTTTTTTAAAAAAAATTAAAAATATTAATATTACAAGAGTAAAATATGTTCTTTGAATATGTTACTAGGTCTGTTATGGTTATTGTGACTTGTGTAATCTTGTGCAGTCTGTAATAATGCCTAAGTTTAAATATACTAAAAATAATTATAACTAGATTTTTTGAAAAAAAATTTTTTATTTTGTGCTTTCTAGCTTGTTTAGGAAAGATCTGAAAAATGTAGAATAATTAGGAAAGGTTATTGGTCAGTTAGGAAATTTTAATGGGTACTAGAAAAGTGAATTTCTGGAGCACTCTTGCAAATTTTCCTAAATTGCCTTTGAAAAAACCTGTAAAAACAGATTTTTAGTTTTGTCTTTTTTTTGATAACTTGATGAGTTTTTGTCTGTTTGCTATAAAATATATATCAAAATGTTCATCTTGATGAGCTTAACAAAATACCAATAGTAAGTAAAGTATATTTAATTAGTAAAATTATAAGAAAATAAGCAAAAACTATTTTTTTTAGTTTTTATAACTTTTCTTAATAACTAGATGTTATCAAAGCTTTAAACTTGATTGCTCAAAAGCAAAAAAATGTGCTGAACAACTTTACTTAAGGGTGCAAGTAAGGTTTACTTAGTAAAATACTTAGAAATAGTTAAATGTTTTTAGCAAAAATTTAGTATAAATAATCTATAGAAAGAGTTGCCATTTTGCTTTTTTTATTTAAAAAATATATCTATATAAATACTTTTTATTTTTAGATATTTTATAGTATTAGAAAAGCTTCTATCTAGAAAAACTAATCTTTTACTAATAATTTTCTTTGTATACATTACTTCTTTCATTAATTTAGTTTTGTTATTTTTGATATTATTATTCTAATCAAGTACTTAGGCTAGTTAAACTAGACCTAAGATGTTAATATTGTTTTTACAAATTTTTTTATATATATTACTTTTCTTATTACTTCAGTTTTATTATTATTAAAATTATTTTCTTAATTAAGTACTCAGAGTATATTCTTAAAATATTAATGCTGCTTTGTCTTTAAAGAACTTATTTGTATAATATTTTGTATAATAGAATTTTTTGTAACTATTGTTATACAGTGTTTTACTTTACAAAATCAGCTTTTAAAAGACTTATTTTTTGTATAACTTTTTATATAATAAAACCTTTTATAACATTACTATTATATATAATGTTTACATTCTGCAAAGTTAATCTTCTTTTGAGAATTTCTATTTTTAATTATATAATGCACTTAGTTTTTGTTTACAAAGCTTTATATTCAGTTATAAACTTTTTTTTAGATTACAAAAACTAAAATCTTTTTAGATTTTATCTTTAGTCAAATTTGAACTGTTGATCTTAACTGTAAAAATATAAAAGTTTAACTACTAAGCTATATATAAGATCTATATCCTTAAATATAAATATTTATTACAATATTAAAAATTTTAAATATAATAAATTTTATATAACAAATTTTTATATAAAATATAAAATAGCTTATAATTAAATTTTGTTAACCTTTTATATAAATAATTAATATAATGCTTTTTTAAATATATTTAAAGTATTATATGGCATAATATGTATTTTATATAACTTATAAATGTCTAAAATGTATTGTATTTAAAGTATTAATAATAAATAAATTGTACTATATAAAATACTTAAATATTGAAGATTAATAACTTCATTTAAAATATAAAATACTTTGATACAAAAGATAAATAATTTGTACTTAAAGTATAAAATATTTCTTTGTACAGTAGCACTTATGTAATGCAATTTATACTTGAAAAAATAAGGCATTAATTTAATAAAATAGTTTAAATAAAAGCAAATAAAAAAATATTATTAATCTTTTTTTGATTAATCTAAAGAAATAAATAATAAATAGCATATTAAAAGAACATCTTAAACATATAGTAAGTTCATAATGACTAAGTATTAAAAATATTATTATATATATATAAATATACAATATAAATTACTTAAAAGAAGTAGGCACTAAAGTATAACTAATTATAAGACATAGCAAATAATATTTTATTATATACATTATATAATAAATATTTATTTGTTATATCCTATAATTAGATATATCTTAATCTTTACGAAGACCTAATCAGCTGCGCAATCAGTGCTTTAAAGCATGGTTTAAAACATTTTTTTTATAAAAATAAACCTTTTTATCATCCCTAATCAATGTAGCGAACTTTTTTTTAACCCAATCACGCTTAGATACATGTTGATGTATACATCATCTGCTACATTATGCAGTGCAAAATGACGTAGACTGCGTAGGCTAAATTATATGCATGTTAATGCAGCATCATTAAAGGACACCCTAAATAAACCAACGGTGGAAACACACAGTAAAGGTAATTTTCATAGTGGAAATAGGCGTTGCCTTTTTTTTGTACTAACCAAATTAATACCATTTTTTATTTTTTATTTTTTAATTGCTGAGTAACCTTTACAATATTAATTATATTGCTTAAAAATCCTAGTGCTAAAACCGTTTCATCCTCGCAATCAATATACGTACAGTCAATTATGGATATAACGGATTTTTTTTAAAAAAATCTATCAGTTATATGGGTTTGTTACTGATACGTATACATATAAACGGATTTATAGATCCGTTATACTGTATCCCTTATCCGTTATACATCTAAAGTAAATAATATCTATCTAAAATTGTTACTTTAGATATGTAGATATGTAAGTAGCGGTAGTACCTGACTAAAAATTAAACCCATGAAACTAGATTTTTCATACATTTAATTCTGGTCAGGTGTTATTTTAAAGTAGCAACTTCAGATAGCGATAGGTGGCTGCTTCAAATGCGACATATATTGTTGACTGTATAGATTTTCTTTACCAAATTATTTGAATAACTCGATTTAATAACTTAGTTCTGATTTCATGGGCTTAATCTCTAATTCGATTGAGCTATTTTTTTTTTTTATCTTTTATGTCAACTTCCTTTCGCGACTCATTTATAAGTAATGCTTGGTATATTTCTGAAGATGTTACTAGTTGAAGTTGCCACTGGAGAAGTTTTAATTTTGGTCAGGTGTAACTTTAATACTAAAATTTTAAAATTGATACGACTTTTTATTTTAAATTTATGACTTTCTAAATACTGAGAAATATATATGTGTCTGGTGTATATATATAAACACGAAATGTTTTAATAAATTGTATGAAAAATTTTCCAAGTATGAAAACGAAGAATCGGATTTTATATAATTTTTCGCTGTTATTTATGAATCTTCAGCTTGTCCCGTTGAAAAATAACAGTATAAGTATTTAATTTCGGCTTCCAAATCCTATAAAACAGAGTTACTCTTAATAAACTAAATATACTAAATGTAATTAAAAAAAAAAAGTGCAAACCTTGCAGTAATCGTCCAACGGCAAATCATTTACATCATAACCTAAAATAATAAAATTAGAAATAATTCACGCAAAAAAAGGTATGACTCTAAGTTAGTGTTTCTGACTAAACTACTCTCCAAAACCCGAAATTTCATTATTAAGAAATAATTTGCCAGGGCAAAATACAGTCAGTCCTTCCTAAATGCAACTTGTAGGGATCAAACTTTAACAACTTGCATTTAGATAACAATAAGGAAAATTGCATTTATGGGGTACAGTATATATTTGATCCGAAGTTAGAGATTGAGTTGCATTTAGAAGTTGTCTGACTGTAATTTCGATTTAACTCGCAAATATATAGTAGTTTTTTTAAAGTTCGAAATATTTCGCCAACACGAACAATTTCGCCCGGATGAAAGATTTCGAATTCATTTGAAACACTAACTCAATTACGCATATGCAATATTATAACTTACCAAACGGATCCTCAATTTCAGAACCTATTCGCATTAAGCATTACGTTAGAACTCATATCATACATGACGAAGATAAAAGACAATATTTAATTTACTCACCGATTGCTTCAACACCAAAAAGAATGAAGGAAATTACCAAGATAACCGGGATAGTTAACCATCCGAGTAACTCGACAAGAGTGAATGGAAGTAACCAAACGTACCTATCGTTAGACAAAAGGCGCAACGATTAGTATCATAAAAAGATTTGAGTTTATATAAAAAGGATAGCTTACAAAGTTACAGCTTGTTTCCTAAAGTAATGAATAATAAAGATATTAATTAAAAGATGAATTACATTAATAGAAAATCCAAAATTACTTACAAATGGACTCTGTAAGCTAAGGGAACAGGTGTGTTACTGATCCTTTCAAGATTGCCTAGAATATCTATAAATTGGTCCAAAATTGACCAAAGTCTATAGGATTCGACTCTTTTTTCACGTGCCAGTTGTTCGAAATATACACCCAGATGAAACACAATTTCCTATGATTAACAAAGACCGATGATATTACAAAATCGAAACAATGCAAATAATAACAACAATAATAATAATAATAATTTTATTTTTGAAATTCACCAATGGAAGACTCATTTTCGGATCTTGGGTTCCCCATGATAACACTTCGGAATCACACGGTTGGCTCTTACCACTTCTCAATGAACGAAAAGTATCTTTAAAACTACCTCTTAAATATGCTACTGGGTCTTGGTTTCGGGACTTTGGAAGAAGGCGAGTAGACTCATTCGCATCTTGAGTGTGTATGGTGATGTCTGGAGCGGAACCTTGATTAGCAAGATTATCAGGATGATTCGGATCCTCAAGGCTTCCACTGCCTAACTCCACAGTATCTTGGCCAGCATTACCGTCAAACTTTGTACGTTGCAAACCTTTGGATAACGAAGGTAACAAACCTACGTAATCGTTATAATTAGTGCCAAATTCCAAACGAAGATGATGTTTAGTGGCAACAACAAATGCCAACACAAGTTTGATGTATGTTATTTTTTCTTCACGATCTTTCTTTGCATTTTCTGAAGTACCGATCCAAATAGTTCGCGTGCTATTTCTTGCAAGAGTACTATAATATGAATTGTATAATAATCAAGTGTAATGTCACAACATGTAAATTTTTTTTACCATTATTTATATGATAGTATGCTTTTGAATTATTTACACGTACCATAAATTGTTAAATAATTTTCGACCTTCATAATATCTATCATAAGCATGGTTTGTACGAAAAGCCAGAAGAAGACCGACCACAACGGTAACAGTACCGACTAAATGGATATACGTAGTAAAATATAAGTTTTTCTTAATTTATTTGTGAAGGAGAAGGATATTAAGATCTTACCCAATTCTCCCGGTAAAGTTACATTAATATCATAGATAAGATATAATGTACAGATTATGGCAGTGAATGCAGTCGAAAAAGTAAGGATTGGAACAATTGTTAAAAATACCTTAATTAATAATTAATATATATGCGTTAATTTCATTGAAATTAATAATATATAGATTAGAATTGTAGGACGAATACTTACAGAACTTCTACAATTTAAAATGTCTGGATTTAACAAACATAAATAAAAATATAATTAATTTATTGAAATATTCAAATAACAATTTAGATTTAAAAAGTAACAAAAAAGTTACCTGGTTTCCCCCATCCACGTTGATAAGTTAATTTTTTCAAGAGTGATGGGTTGTTATGGTCTTTTGAATTTATTGAATCTGTCATAATAAATTAATTCTGCGGAATTCTCAGTTGAAATGTACCGTACAGTGTTTTCCTTACGTTTTATATAAAATCTAACCAGTAGATGCACAAAACAAAAATGTGCATTCTATTAATTTCACTATAAATGCAAATCAAAAACGCAACATAACGAAATTTGGTCGAGAAAGTTTCAATTATTTGTGAAACCTCAATCGGAGATGCAGAAATATCGATATCTAATTCCTAATCAACCCAGCATAAAGAAAAAATTAGAAAATTAATCTTTAAGCTGGCTTTGAGGAATTAATTAAAAATGGTAAAAATGAAATCCTACCCATAATAAATGATAATTTATCTCTATAATCTCTATCTCCAAGGCATAAAACTCTGCATCGATACTATTAATACCCAAAATCGATAACTTGTCCTAATTGATGCAACACTTTCTAAAGTTAACCAATCAATTTACTGAATTATATGTATGTATATCGATAAACTATAGCCAGTGCATATTATTTAAATGGTTTTATATGGAAACATTGGTTCCCAAAATATTTATGTAATGCTTGCATAGGATTGTGAATCCATCAAAACAAATTATTACCGATAATTTTTCGTGTGAAAAAAAAGTTAGATTGTCAGTCTCAACTTGAAAAAAAAATTCGATCTGGAGATAATTGTAGAGAAATAAGATTGTTGTGACTTCTCTTATCAATAATAGAATCAGATCTTTCTATAATCACAGTATCGATATAATAGTGCCCTGTTTGTTTTTTCTTGTTTTCTTACGATTATAAATGCATTTATGGCGCTAAGTCTAAAACTAACGATAAGGGTCCTCTATATTAACTACATACTGCATAAATTGTATTCTTGATATCTGTATAAACTAATAACCCTAATTGAATCAAAAAAGTAATCCTAAACACAGCAGAAATTCTGCGTTAACAATCTCTTAAAAACAGAAACAGATGTAGATCATCTAACCTAATAAATAAGGTGCAATACCGATACCCGTACGTTCCTAGCACCATCAAAACCAGTACGTACATACGTAATCGCTATTTAAAATTTACACATTGATAACGATAACGATATCGATATACTAAGGATGTGAAAAGTCCGGTCTTTTTAGTTGACTTTTTCGAGTCGACGTTGACCTTAGGTTCAAGAGACCTTGAAGGTCTGAGTCCCAGTGGACACATATAAGAATAGGTATTACAGGGTATTTTTTGCTTTTCTGCAGTTCCTACTGGTTTCAGGAACTGCAGAAAAGTAGTCATCTTGCGTCGCGTTTACTTGATACCAAAGAACATTAGGCCGAGCCCAATTAAGGCTAGACTTAGGCTTTTGGAATCGAGTCGGATTGGATCGGACCTTTCACATCAGTAACGTTACTCGAAGTTATAGTAAAGAATGTCGTGGAACATTATATATTTATTCACATTATACGTAGTGTCTCGTTTTTATGAGTTCTATCCTTTTATGAAAAATTTAAGTGGATTGCCTCATTTCACACCCATTTGCGACACAAGAAAGACTGCCACAAACTTAAACCAATAAGGTAATATTACTCCCTTCTCCATATAAGTGGATCTGTGAAAACCTATAAACCGTGCTTTTTGAGCATTTACTTTTAATAAAAATATTTTAAAACCATATAATTTAACAATTATTATTTTAGTAGATATCATTTAAATAGCATTAATGAATAACATAGTAGTCAATTACTTTGCTTTTAAGATATATATTTAAAGTAAATATTCAAAAATCACGATTTACAGATCGTCCTAGCCTAAAAACGTTGTTATCAGCGTTATCGATATATTTTTGATTTTAGGTTACAACTGATTTTGGTCAGATAGCAAAATTTTTAGATTGATAACGCATGTGTCAATCATTTTTCTTGTGCTGGGTTCACTGGAAAACGGCTGGGTTACCAAATTTTATTTAATATGTAGGAAATTTATTTAATTTTTTGATTTATGAATTTGTGTAATATATAAATCATAAGAAAAGTTAGGATATGGTTAGCTCTAGGATTAGGAATGATTTGGGGCTATACTAAAATTTTGCAAGGAATATTTTTCGTTAAACCCCTAAAAGTTGTTTCATAATTAGGATTTTGGGATATCAACATACCCGTGTACATATATGTAGTGTACAAATAAAAGTTTCCTATTTAATATAATTAGAAAATATTTTATTGTAAAGTTTTGAAAGATAATTGTTATTTTTAAAATCAATATGCATAAATTTTGATCTGACATTTTTTTAAAGTTTAAAAATTACATAATCCTTTGAGAAATTTAAATGTCTAAAAATAATATTATCTTAAAAAACTATTTTAATTCAAAAAACTAATAAACTTTGGTATATATTTCTTAGTATTTAATACAAATAAATTTCGAAAAACAGTTTTATTTTTTATACATATCTTAAAATTAGGTTTAATTAATATACAACAAGTAAAATTTGGGTTTAAATTCTAATTAGGAATTCCACTAAGAAACCGCACTCTCCCACCTAGCGCCTTACGACGATGACCACAAGACACAGTTTATTATTATTAAGGTTTATTATTAAACAAACAATCGATGCAACTTTCCCTTAGGATTATTGCCTTTTTTATATTATATAATCGGGTATAAGATTACCCAGTTACGTTTCACTGGTGTTTCAAAATTTTACCAATCGATTTACCATTATCACGTGATTAATTTAATCGATTAGTTCCTTAGTTGTAAACCTAATTGCAAATATGCTTCACATTATACCAGCAATTTGTATTAGACCCTGTGATATTAAATGATTGGTAGCATAGTTAAGTAATAAATCTTTATAAACATATATAGTAATATTCCTTTAAGTTAATGTGAATAAAACAATAAATAGTAAATATCGTGAAATTGAAATTTGGGGTCTAGATTTGAAAATATAAGCCCTGCTAAAATCCACATATATACTTTATTTATCAATTCTATCCAAACCCTAAAAAAAAAATGAAAAAAACATTCCCAAAGAATCTTAAATTTTCATTTATTTAAATCCCCTAAATTTGAGTTTAAAATACAAAGTTCTAAATAAATCAGATCGTATTTTATATGTTTCATGTGATCTTTAATTTACAAATTTATGTATTGGTAATCAATTTATAAAAAAGGTCCAATTCCAAAATTCGCTAAATTGCAAAATAGGTTCAAATTTCAGCATCAGCCGTAACAGTAAGTATTCGTAAATAGTTTTGTGAATCTCACCTCATAATTAGCCCAAAAATTTATTAATCTAAATATTTACGTATTCATTTGAATATTAACATATTATTTCATTTAAAATATCCTCAATGAAAAAATTTTAAGTGTTAGGAAAATAAAATTATTGGAAGTGATTGTCTAATAGTCACCAATTACAAGTTATTTGGATTTGCAAATACAAAAATAACGATTTGGATCACTACATTAACTATCTATATATTTAAAATCGTTAACAGTTACACGTTTAGAATACCATGCATAAATAAATTGTATAACAAAACTATCAAACAATTACGCGTATAAACTTGGTCCATTAGCGAGTTGACTTGCGCCAATAAATCAACTTTACCATTCCAATGCTGTGTGATGTATGAAATATACAAGCATATATTTAACTAAAACCACTGATTAAATCATGGCAAAGAACCAGCCGAATGTTTTGAAAAGCTATTTTCGATGGAATTTTATCTTATAAATTTACATATTCTAACAAAGATTGGCTTTGAAGGTTTGGAAAGGGTTTAACTACAAGTTGATCAATAGTTAGTTGCTTTTAAATGGTTTACAGTCGATTCAGATAGCGATTAAAGATCTTGATATTTTTTTACGAAAATCAGCTTAAATTATTGCAAAGAATTTATTCAATCCAAACATTATTACATGCATTCTATGGGATCACATAAGGCAAACAAGCAATTCATAATTTTTAGTGGTATCGAATACATAATAATCATATTAAATAAAAATATTTTATCTAATGGAATATAGATAACAATGGATATTATAATATAATTTTACAATATACTAATGAAAGAACTATGAAAACACCTTTGGGAAGATAAAACTATACTCACATTGATTCTGATATTATAAAAACATCATTCAGCATTCGAAAAATATACGTTATCAAAGACATCAAAGGTTGCAAAGTTTAAACTATCAAAAGAAATAAATAAGATATTTATGACTTCAAACTGATTGTTTATGGGATACCTGATATACTTCGAACCCATGTTCTTGAAAATATAAATGTAATATGAAATGTAACATCTATATCTTTGAGTAATTATTTGAAAAATTTCACGCGAAAGACTACTTTGAATCATTGTTTTCATATATGCCAAGAAAATAAAGAACAATAGAAGGTACACAATCTCAATATTTTGAACTTTACAATGTTTGGATAATGGTCCTGCTTATAGTTCAGAAATAAAATTATCTTTTAATGCTTTAAAGCAACTCTAACCTTTGAATCGGTACTGTTATATTGAAACATTAGCTCAAAATAGCGAGTTTTGTCAAGTCATCGGGACAATATAAAGTCACATATAAACTCAATTGAAATTTCGATTCTCCATTCTATAAAAAATTCAAACTTTACGAAGATGATCCCAGCATAGTGTTAAAGATCCGAAAAAGTGCTTCGACCTGAAATCTTCTTTATTACAAATATGGATTGAAAAATTTCAACAGTTAACAAAAGCAGTTTCATGAATAATATGTTGATTTTGAGTTTTAATATGAATAGTCTTGGATCAGAAGGAGGAACAGCATTAGCAGATAGTGCACCACGTTGATTTTTTTGAATCATTACTTAGATCAAAAGAATGAAAAGCATTAACAACTTTGCAAGAACACCAAATTGAATATTTGAAGGAGAAGAAACATTAACGGATGCACTTCGTAAGAACGTCACACTGACTTCTTTGGATCTTGATCTAACGCTAATAACCTCAGATATAGGTGACACATCCGGCAAAGCTTCCACGATCTCTGATCAGTGTCATGTGATCACATGATTCTGCCACATTTACATGTGTAATCTTGGTCGAATTATATGATCACATGACACTGATCAGAGATCGCGGAAACTTTGCCGGATGTGTCACCTATAATAGGCTTAATTCCTGTTTCATTTCTGGAGTTGCATTTGGTCTCTGTTATTAATAAATGTTCGCAGTTTTGCTCAGTATGATTAGTGATCGGATCTCATGAATTATTAATAATTAATATTGATTAGTAATTCCAGGGAAGAGTGGAGGAACTTAAATCCAGACAATAGGCAAGAAAAAAATTCCGGGTGAGTTCCGTGTGTAGGATAAGGAAAATTTCCAAATTACCAATTTATTAGAATTATATCAGTATTGTAGTTAGTAGTATATCGTTTTTTAGGTTCCAGGATTAGGATAAGAAAATTTTCCAAATTACTGAAGTATATCAGTGCTGTCACTTAGAAGTCTATGACTTATCGTTCTTTAAATTTAACTTTATATATGATATATTTTCTTATAATAAATTCTAAACGCACTTAATAAAATAACTTTAATTCAATCTTACGTAATTATAGAAACCTTATACATGATACATTTTTCTTACAATAAACTCTAATCGTATTTAATAAAATAAACTCATGACTATAGTTTAATTCAATCTTACATAATTACAGAGATAAATACAATATACGAGCTTAGAGCCGTAAAAAATCAAATATAAATGTTTTTTTCTACAATTTGTAAATTTTTTTAATTTGTTAAAATGAATGCTGAAGATGGTAATTTCAGTAATGTTAGTGATCAAGAAGAAAAAGATGTAGAAATTATCAAAAATAAAGTGCGTTTGTATGTAATCGCAATAGAAAATGAACAAAAGAAGTACAGAAACTGTTAAAAAAGAGAAATATATCTTGAACATGGATGCAATCAATGAAAAAAGAAGAGATACAAAAACTATTGAAAAAAGAGAAGTATACATTGAACATAGTTGTAATTAATAAAAAAGAAAAGTGAATACAGAAACTAATAAGAAACGAGAAGAATGACTTGCATGTAAGTATAATTAAAAATATAAAAAAAAAGTGTTAAAGCAATTAGAAAGAAAGAATTATTTACAAAGTATAATTATAAACAATTATTAAAGAAAAATACTGATAAAAAATCTACAAGTAAAAAAAAAGAAAATATAAGATCTTGTTAATTCTAATTTTTAAGTTTGATAAAAAGGTTTAAATATTTTTTATAAAAAATAACAATAATTAAAAATAAGTTATTTTTAACATATGATAAATATTTTATCTATTAGTTTTTTTTTTTTTTTTTAAGGTAACCTCTTTGGTCTTTTGACTTTTATTAATTACTTATCAGTATTGTGGTTTAATGAATCACTACAGGAGAGCATACAATTGGTTACACATGTAACTTTTCTATATTACCTATTTAAGGAGTCCACCCGAAGGTTTCCTACTAATTGTCATACCTAACATCCCTGCTTTGATGTTTCACTTTAAACACTTTGAACCTGTAATCTGTGTTAACATCACTGGTCATCTCAGATGCATCAGATCATTATTCTCAATCTTAGGATTAATTTATCCTCGAGATAAACTTTCCAGAGCTTTCTGTACTCATTTTTATAGTTGACTTAGATATCACTATGGCAGAACCAACACTTGCAGTCAGGACTAACCATTAAACTGTTATGCCCTTGTAGAGTTCACTTAGACCTCAGCATCTACTTCACAACATAACTCTGGTACTTTAGTATACTCCCATCTTTTTTCCTACTCTTTTACCAAACTCCCAATCCAGATAGTCTATGTAGGACTATAACCAGTCCATCAGTATCTCAGGTCAACCCAATATTCTTTTCCTCCAGTTTGTTCTGGTGGCCTGGTTGGTGGTACCTCTGAGACTTTCAACCCAAAAGTTCTTGCCTATCTGGTTACTAGGACTGGATACTAGACCTGGGTATTCGTTTTGCCAGGCTAGCCTTTACAGTAAGATCATTAAAGATCCAGCTACTTCTCTACTCGGGTCTTTCTAAATAGACTTCTTGTTACCTAATTTCAACAGATTTATACAGACACAAGGACTTATCTAGTATTTGCACTGCCCAATTTGTCAGTTTGCATTTTTCTGTATAACTCCAATATTGCATGAATGCTCCATGATCTGTCAGTCATGCTGGTTTAATTGTTATTACAGGTATCCTAATCTAATCATTAGTAACAGTTGTCATAATATGAATATTACATAGGTGATTATTTAAATTTTTGCTATCGATGGGATTTGAACACCCAACCTACCACTTGGAGGGTTGACAATCTGACTACTTCACTAGGTCACCACACTCTTCTATTAACTTTTATTAATATAAAGTTATTAATATTATATAAAAAAAATATATTAAAGAAATTTTTAGTTAAAAATAATATAATTCAGATATATATAAATTAATATATATATTTTTTAAGATAATCTCTTAGATCTTTTGACTTTTATTAACAGTTTTGGTAATGTAGTTCTATATAGAACTATTACAAAAAGAGTATACAATTGGTTATATATATAACTTTTTTATATTACTTATTTAAAAAGTTTGCATAAAGGTTTATCACCAATTGATATACCTAATAGTTCTCTTATATAGATGTTTTATTTTAAACTCTTTAAATCTGTAATTTATGTTAACTTTACTAGTTTATGTTCAGATTTTTATCTTATTTTTATTTTTAAGATAAACCTTTTAAGAATAGAGTATATGATTTTCAAATTATATATAAAACTTATAATAAATTTTTATTTAATTAAAAATAAAAAAAATATATTTTCTTAATTAAATAGTTTTTAAATATTAATTAAAAATTGTAGAATATGTTTTTCTGATTCTAGTAATAATAAAATTTATTAAAATTGGTTAAATATTAATTAAAATATATATGTTTAAAAACTAGATATTATAAATTTATATAAATCATTACAGGTTAAATGAATAAATAAAAGATAAATAATAGATAAATAATAGAAAAAATCTGTTGTTATTCTACTCTATATCCATTAAATAATATTAGCATAATAGCAATATCATAGCAGAATAACAGTAAAATAACAGGAAGTTTGTTAATATAAGTAATATAATAGTAATATAATAGTAAAAAATAGAACAGTTTTATTATCTTACTTTTAGTCTTTGTAACTAAAAGTAAATAATAAAACTGTTTTATTATTTTGCTGTTATGTTAATATTATATTACTCATATCAACAAACCTCTTGTTATTTTACTGTTATTCTGCTATTATACTACTGTTATGCTGATATTGTTTGGCAAATATTAGATAGAATAATGGCAGATTTTTTTCTGTTATTTATCTATTATTTACTTTTTATTCATTTATTCAACTTGTATATATAAAGATTATATGATTTGGATCAATTATAGTAAATAATTTTATATAATTACAGAAAATTTAAAGGCATTATAGAGAACTTTGCAATATATACAAGTATATTTTTTTAAAATATTTTATCTATTAAAAATTTTATTATTATAAAAAATATATCTTATTCTATATTATATAAAAATTTGATAAAAATTAATTACAATAGTAAAAAGTTTTATTAATATCAAAGATTTATTTTTTATAAAAATTATATTGTACTACAAAGATCATATAAAAAATAATTTATATATACTTTATTCTTAAACTTTTTAAAATTTTTTATATTATTTTAATTATATTTATTTATTTTAAAACAATTTGTAATACTTTATATTAATTTGTAATATTTGCTATATTTTAAATATATATATATATTTTTTTTTTGGTATTAAGGTAAGGCCTTGCTCGTATCTTTATTGGTAGTTTAAAAATTAGTAGCTACATGGAGCTGCTATGTACAAAAAGTAATTT